AGAGAGAGAGAGAGAGGGAGAGAGAGAGAGAGAGAGAGAGAGAGAGAGAGAGAGAGAGAGAGAGAGAGAGCTAGCCTCGAGCTTATGATCATCATCAGTTCATGTTGTAGGTAGGTTTTCTTCTATCATGATTATCATCATTGTTTTTCACTTGCCACAATTACATTTTCTTGGATTTGTCATTTCCACCAAGCCGAGAGAAGGTTAACAACAGTCGTATTTTTCATCACCACTTCAAGTCCAGGACACCCTTCGCCACTTCAGGATGCAGCCTGCCTAAATAGGTGGTTTTCAGGGTCTTCGGACCTTTCACCACTTCAGGACCATTCAAGTCTGAAAATCCTGAATGGTCATGAAGCGGTGAAAGCCCCGAAGACCCTGAAAACCACCTGTTTAGGCAGGCTGCATCCTCAAGTGGTGAAGTGCGGTTTTCATGGTCTTCGGACCTTTCACCACTTCAAGACCATTCATGATTTTCATATTGCCAAAAACTCTCACTTGACCACTTCAGGACACCCTGCACCACTTCAGAATGCAGCCTGCCTAAACAGGTGGTTTTCAGGGTCTTCGGACCTTTTACCACTTCAAGACCATTCAAGATTTCAGACTGCCAAAAACTCTCACTTCTGAATTTTCATTCCTGAATTTTCAGCTACCCGATAACCGCTTGTGACCGGGCCACACCCTATTTTGCATTACGTATTGTTTGAAGTGCGCAGTATGTCTGTCACATTATATGATGTTGACCTTGGTTGTTTTTCGTGCACATTATGTTTTTTTTTTGTTTTTTATTTTTTTTATTTTTCATTATGTTGCAAGATTTTTCACGATAGCGGTGCGACTTTGTATTGCTTAACAAGGCCCAACGAGGGGTAGAGACACGCTGTGTCTTTCTGGCATTGCTTGCATACATCCTCCAAATAGTAACCTCAAACACATGTTCACATTGTGAGATCATCCCTGTGCATGCAATCAACGACCAAACAATGAGGACCTACCATCAATCACACTTGACACAGACGTCGTGACACGGACAGTGACAATACAAGAACAATGATGTGAAATTGTTACGAGAAGCAATGACAACAAGGAGTGCGATCATCTCAAATTTTGTTTGTCACTTGTTCGACACCAAAAACAAAAAAAAGAACGTACTGTCGTGTTTGATAGATTTCGATCCAAAAGACCCCGCAACAGCAAATACACGCCTGCGTCATTAACACCGTGACTCAAAAACTGTCCCGTGCGGACAGACCCCATACTACCCCCCGACCCTTCGACACAAGACCACACATAAACCGAAGCTTCGTGCGAGAGACACGAACAACTACACTGGAAGGACGAGATGGCGACTATCTATTTATAACCCTCTATTTAATGCAACATTATTTAGAGTCGGTGGACGAATCAAACTCCATACTCATTGACCTCCGAAGGTGATCTGCAACAACTGCCACATCATGCCGGTTCGCGTCCGGTGACATGGTCGGGAATACTGATGGCGACCTACCATCACAGGGCATGGACACATGCCTGTCTGGAGGTGTCCGATATGCATTGTCCGGAACCAAATTGTTGAGGGAAACGGTGACGCTCGCGACGGTCCCTCATCGCTTACCCCAAGGGCTCTGCACAGTGCTGACATAGTCATCACGATCCAGCCATGAATTTTGCGACTCCCCTTCGTACATTGCCAATTGCTGCTCTAAACGTGCCACCTCATCCTGCAACACAATAATCGTCCTCTCTGCAGCTTCTGCTTTGGAAACTGCCACACCCTCTCTCATGGCAGCCTTGTCCACCTCCTCTCGCAAACGCTTCAACTCCTCGACCATAGCGGACACGCGTGTGAACATAACACCTCTCTTGCGTGCGAGTTCATGTGCTTGTTGAATCATTCGTCTGTGGGTCAACGTGAAATCACATGCCATGTCCACGACTTCGCTGACGCCACGAAGCGGAGAGGATGATATCCCTCCTTTATGTCATCGTTCCACCCCCCCCGACCAGATACCTGCAACAAGGCCATCACGCCCGCCACATGCGGATGGACAACTGTCAGATGGATAGCCCC